CTTGATTATTACTAAAATTGTTATACAGTAATTTAAAATTGTTCAGAATTCTATTGATTCTTGGTTAATGGATTCTGAAGAAACAGATTATTTTGTTTGCTTAGACCAAACTATGACTCCTAAACATGGTGGTTTTAGCTTGAGATTGACCACATGCCACATGTTAGTTGCAGCAAGCTTTCCGTTCTAGATCTCTAAGGCCATGTTTGATTGAAAGGAATTCCATGAAAAATATTATATTCGAGGAAAACGAATTTCACTTTCACCATTTGATTGCAACGTGGAAATAGAAATCAAATTCCAACGTACAATCACTTTAACCTGCATCTTCTTTGTTTTCATGAAAAACGAATTTCTATGGGTTTTATAAATTTTTATTTTCCAACTGACATAAAATTGGAATTTCTTTCCACGTTTACTTATTAAACGGACCCTAAGAGAAACTTAGTAACTTGTATTATTGAGCAAGATATTATTATAAATTTTTGCCTTCGCTTTTATTTAAAAGGAAAAGGTTAATTTATTCTAGTTTATTGATGGATGTGCTATCAGTCCTGGATATTTTTTACTGCATGATACTGAAAAAAATGGTGGTAATTAATGAACTATGAGCGGATGAGAAGATAAATTTCAAGCGACCAAACTTGTGTCTGACTAAGTCTCAATCTTATTAACCAAAATTGGATACAGAGAACGATGAAACATAAACTTTGTGTTTATTGGAATTTGAATTATTGTCACTCGTGTGGATCCTCTTTAGATGGTGAATGACAAAACCAGTTAGCCTTCCTGGCCAAGAATGAGTGTGTCACATAGTAGCTATTGCAATCCATACATACTTGTTGCCGATTTTATATTTCGCAAGGGTACAGATCGTAACAAGTAATAGAGTGGACCAATGAGTCTGAATTATCGTTTTTACGAGGATTATAATTTAATACTTAATTTACTATTTCTAACTTCTATTTGACGAAAAGTAAATTATGATTTGGTGAATGAGTGTCTAACTTATTTTAATTATACTAAATTAATCTAATGCGAACAATTTATCAAATTTAGATTTTAAAGTATGAATATGTATGTTATGATTTATAATTTCATGTACGGATCCCTTTTAATTTGTTAATTAAGATCCATGACTATTGTGGTATTCGGTCGAATTCTTCATTAATATTTAATTTACCTCTCTCGAGTTTAAATTGATTCTATTTAACTAAATCAATTCCATATATCTATGTGAATCTGGATACATATTAGTTAAACATATTAAATCTCTAAAAATCACCGCATTAAATAATAAATGTATCTCTACACTTTTATACTAATTTCCAAATTTTGTTATATGGTCTAAATCTATAACTCGCCTCTCGACTCGTTATAAATTCACAAGATCTTTGAATTATTGGCCAAGTAATTCAAGCATTAAACGCCATAATTAAAATCAACACATTAAAATTAAACTACTATAATCTTGAAAATTAAATTAAAGGTAGCATATAGATTACATTATTTACCCAAATTATAAATTTAGCTACTTATACTAAAGAAGAAAATAATAATAACAAAAAAGTAGTTCATAACATAGTTTTGAAATTTTGATGATGGAAAGAATTTGATCTTGTATCAAATTTTTTTTTTTTTCAATTTCAAAAGTCTTCAAATCCTAACTTTTTGCCCTTTTGATGTTGATAATTATGTGTTTTTCTCTCTCTCAAATTGTGTATCATAAAAAGAATGAAGAATAGTCTATATAAAAGTCTAAAATAACTATAAAAAGGATTCCTAAATCATCCCTCGTGGAATTTGAGTGCAAATAGAAAACTAACAAAAGCTGGAATTTTTAATAGTTAATAGTAAAGTGAACTTTGGTCCTCTACATTAAGTTATCGTCCATCCCAAGTCCTCTTTATTCGCATAACAGATCCTCATCTTCAAGACTCGATTACTGTGGTCTCTAATTCCTAAATTTTGTACAACACCATTTCAATCCAATTTCATCCAAAATTGTCCAATAAGAATTTTACCTAAATCAATCATAAAATAACCTGAATTAAGTAGATATATACTCAAAATAATAATAAATAAATAAGAATTAAGACCCAAATAAGTGCATAAGATACACTTATCAATACTTAATTACTCATGTCTATAAAGTCGTAAACTAATTTATAATGTGCTGGCTCGAGGAGGTTATGAGTATCAATTTCAGTACTTCACTATTGATGATAGTTTTTCCGTCATTTTTTATAAAAATATGGGCCGGCGTTCCTTTCGGAGCCTTATGCCCAAATTATATCAACAAATCCCTTGATTTAAATATGCCTCATTAAAAAATTGATTATTCCCTCGAATTTCCGTGCTGCGTATTTGACATTTTTGCTCTAGGCTCACCAAACTCCCCCTAAAAGAACTTAGCTCTAAATGCGAATGTTGGGAATTGGGACCCGTTTTGTCATCCACATGATCATCATTTTGAGAAAATATTTTTTAAAAAAATAGAAACACAAATAATATAATGAATGAATCATAGACAATAAAGAAGTCACAACTTACAATACACAAACCCAAACCCTCAAGTAGTTCATTAGTTTTTTCCTGATATTTATTGCACCCTCAAATAGTTCATAAGTTTTTTATGCCATACAGCATGGTGTACAGTCCCTTCACATGTGAGGGGGCCCACCATGAATAAAAAAATTGTGGGACCCCCTCTATGTGAGGGGAGTGTACACTATGCTGTTCAAGTATTGTGTACATGTAACAAAGTTCATATCATAGAATAATGATGGTTTGTACACCATACCAAACAGCATGGTGTACGGGCTCCTCACATGTGAGGGGGCCCACCATGAATAAAAAAATTGTGGAACCCCCTCTATATGAGGGGAGTGTACACCATGCTGTACAAGTATTGTGTACATGTAGTAGAGTTCAATATCATATTTCTTGTATAAACCATAAAGAGAAAAACAGATTATTTTAGATACTAGATTTAAAAATAGTTCGTGCATGTGTTTTAACCTTTTTCGAAAATGGGAAAATATTAATTTATAACGTGGACTTACATATGTAATTAATTGTGTATAAATACTATCTTAAAGTTAATTCCGTTTAAAGTTATCTAATAAGAAATTTAAGTTATTGGACTTTTGACATTTAAATAAAGTGTGGACTAAATATGTGTAGATGATAGATTTATTAAGGTTGTATTTAACGATGAGCCAAATAAATATGGAAATATAAATAGGATTATAATCCTCAATTCATGTATGATTCTCATTTTTTGTGTCATCTCATCACCACAAGAATACAAGATAAAACATATAGAGATGGAAGATTCAAAACCCATAACCAAAAACAGAAAATTAACAATCAAGACGAATGGGCCGAGACAATCAAGATTATGGTGCAAGAAGCAAAAATCAAGAAAAAAATTTAAGAATATTTAATTTTGCCTCAAAATATTCAAATCCTTTTTGTTCATCTTTTGCTACCAAAGTTGTAGATGGAAGGAGGAAAGCTTCCTTGCCTTTTGAGCATCATTTTCGGCAGGTCCGAGGGTGATATATATGACAAACTTCATAACCTAAAATGCAGTCAATTCATGAAAATCATTGTGTATTTCTTTACTTTATAGAAGTGGTTCACCCGTCACCCTATGAATGCAAAATTTTAATTATTAATTCAAAGAATGTGCAGTCTAAAAAATTGACCTTACTGTATGGCACCTTAAAAATATGTGAGGAATCTATGGAAATTTTCAGAAGTAATGCTTCTTATTTCGATTTGGTAATTATAATAATTAGAGCATCCACCAAAATAGTCTTACTCGCTCTTCAACTCTGCAACAATTGATGAACAAGAAGGAAAATAGAATCCTATTTATTTTTTTTGACTCGCAACCCTTTTTGGAGAGCAAAACAATTGTATACTAAAAATCAAACCTCGAGGAAGGATCAATACCATTTGGGCTCATGATTTGGGGAATACACATAAACCCCACCAAAAAGTGGGAATTTGAGTATATTATATAAGGGACTTGCCTAAGAATATTTTCTGGTAGAGTTGACATCACACGCATATGTAATTTGTGTTATCAAGCCCCACATACGTATGTTTCTTGAAAGAATAGACCTGCCTTAAAAATGGACAAGTTGTACTGTACTGGTCAAAGATTAAAGCCTATTGGATGCTTTTTAAAATCTTTTTAAAGTTGTTACAGCTACCATAGATTCGTTAAAGTAATAAAGAAACGTGTACCCCTACCTACGTATTTTTTTATATAGACTTTTGAAGTCATTCTTTTCTCCCAAGTTACTCGTTCATACATTGCCTCGCGTCTATATGGCACTTTGCTTAACTCAGCCAGCAGCTAGTGACCTCGCCAGATGGGGACAGCAGACATCGGGTTCGTCATGGGGTGACCAGATGGCATCCCCTATTATGGATTGTATTATCGTTAGCAATATCGATATGTTTGTTAAACAATTTAATTCTTGAAATACTAATATGAATAAAACTTGAAGTTCTGTTTTAAAATTTCAATCTTTAAGAGAAGTGGCTCAATCCCGTATATGTCATGTATTATTTCAATATTTAATTAATATAGGATTTGTCTTCAAAGAATGTGATTAACGCATTATAATTAGAAGTAAGTAAATACTTCCTAAAATATGATATTCAAAAATAAACAACTATACAATTTATTCACATGGGTTATGAAGCAATTTCCAAGAAAGAGATTAAATATTGTAAAATAATTGAATACACTATGTTGTTGAGCCGCCCAGTAAGTTCCTAGCAACGTCTATAGTTTGAACATAGAAAGTTTCGGGGTCTGCATATTCTATTGACTTGAGAAATCGTGCTTAAATTATGGGGTTATAAATACAAAGTTATTTTAATTTCCAATTTCCAAAGTGCTAGCAAAAGGTGTTTTCCATATTTCCTCCACATAAATCGGTCCATTCCTACAAGTTTCAGGTTGCAAGCCTTCTTAAATGGAGAGAAATTGCGACATCAAGCCTCCGAACTATGAAAAATATGTCACAGTTTTGAGCATTGATGGTGGTGGTATCAGAGGACTTATCCCCGCCACTATCCTTGATTTTCTTGAATCTCAACTTCAGGTACGCTTGGAGCAATGACGCAGCTAGTAAGGTTCTAACCAAGTCTCGTCTATTGCTGGTTGAAAACTATTTCCAGACCCATTCTTGTCCCTACAGGTTCGCCCTGGGGGATGTCGAAATTATTTGATAGGATACCTTCGGGGTAGAGGGCTACATATTTTGGAATTATCATTGAATTTTGACTTAAACTGTACAACTGTTCAGGAGCTGGATGGGGAGGAAGCAAGACTTGCGGATTACTTTGATGTGATTGCTGGAACAAGCACTGGAGGCCTTGTAACAGCCATGTTGACTGCTCCAGATGAAAACAATCGTCCCCTTTATGCTGCTAAAGATATAAAGCCTTTCTATTTAGAGAACTGCCCAAAAATCTTTCCACAGATGAAGTAATTTTCTTTCGTCTTCTATAGAATAAATGAAAATACTACAAGGAGGGAGGCGTATCAAATTCACGCAACAGTTTTTCTAATTTACAACTACCAGTTGAATTATCTCCCTCTTTTTGATTTTATGACTGATGTTTATGTTTATATGTGACGATTTGATATGATCACTGCAGTGTTTTTGGGGAGATTGGAAGGTTTTTCAAAGCATTGATAGGTCCCCTGTACGATGGAAGGCACCTCCATAGTGTCTTGGAAGATAAACTGAAAAATATTAGGTTGACGGACACACTTACAAATGTGGTTATTCCAGCTTTTGACATCACGAGTTTACAGCCAGTGATTTTCTCTTCCTATGAGGTCTTCCCCATCTTCAATTCTTTTTGCTAAAATCTTCGTCATCTTATGTTTATATGTTTAGCCATGATTCAACATTAGAACGCTAGTCTTTAAGCAAACTTCATAGTACAAAAATATTTATTTATTTAAAGGATTAAACTATATACGATCTTCTCCTATAAATATAAGTAGCCAGCCTCCAAAATGGTACAAATAATTTATAGACACAGAAGTCTTTCTTTAAATGTTTATATATGCTTAGGGATGTCAAGTGGGGTGTCTTCCGAAATGAGATGCAATTATGTTGAAAATACAATTATCTTGCCCGCAAACATATCTTAGCGGGATTAATGATCTCCACATTTCCATAATTTTCTTATGTATCTGATTTGGATGAATACACGGGAAGCCCAGAGACCTCATTTGGCGTTGTGTGAATTCCTTAATTGCACCAACGCACTTAGCAATCCTCAAAGTTTATCAATTTTCAATGGCGAAGGCCACAGGTTAGTAGACCCAATCTTCTACTACCATTACAGCTCCAAACTGGAGCCAAAGAGCTGCCTCCTTAGAACTTAAGGATACATACCTTTGTATCCTTGAGTTCCATTTAGTTCTGTTTCCAAGAGAAACGAACCAAATCATGAACTAGTGGTGTTTTGATAATGAACCAAATGATTTTTTTAAATATATGGAACCAAATCGGAATTGAACCGAATACCGAACCATTCAGTTCTGATTTGGTTTGATTCTAATTTCATTACTGGTTGAGGGAAAAAGGAGAAATAACATTTAAGGAAGAAGAACGGGAGGTTGAGGCTTTAATTTCAAAAATCCATGTAGTGGTAATGACGAGCGCAACAGTAGACGGCAGACAATAGTTGTTGGTCTCCATGTGAGAGTCGATGTATAAATTGAAAATGAGATAAAATAATAAAAGAATTATGATCCAAGTCTCCAAAATGAATTAGGATATCCAGTGTCCACATTGAGAAATGAGAAACCAAAGGTACATGACCTTTCTGACTGAATTTTCAATTGAATTTTGAATTTGTTTTGTGTGAATTGTGATTCACTATAAGAACAAATTTTAAATATTGAGTTTAGTTCTTAGCTCTAGAACTAGAATCAAATCGGAACCAAATGGTTCTTCTAAGAAACAGAACCATTTTACAGCTTGGCTCGCCCCACCAACGGGCTAGCTCTGGGGGTGAACCGAATAGCTTGGCTCAATCCATTTTACACACATATATATATGTCGAACAATACAATGAGGAAGTATTTCCTACTTATTCTTAATTATTCCATGATATACTTGTCTAGACCAGATTTTAAACAAATATTTTATGATATAGCTTGACCTTAAATGCATGTTTGGTATGCTGTAATAAAACTATGTATCTTAAAAATTCACCTTACCAATCAAACAATAACAGATTGCTTTGTCAAGCAGGCAAAGAGATCGCCATGGTTAGATGCAAAATTGTTTGACATTTGCATTAGCACTTCCGCAGCTCCAACTTTTCTTCCTGGCCATCACTTCACTACCAAAGATGAAAATGGAAGCATTCGAGAGTATAATCTCATTGATGGTGGTGTTGCTGCAAATAATCCGGTAATATTTTCAATTTATTAATTACACAATTAGAGAAACTCAACTAGTTTTCCATATCCTTGAAGCAGCATCCATCTTCTCGTTCTTTGTCTCTACACATTCATGCGCAACTAGGTAGCAATATTAGCTAGGTTGATTACCTAATTGTAGCTGACATACTATGTAGCATTTTAATGTTGTATATCTTAAAAAAAAAATGTTCTCTCATTTCTCTAATTAGTTACACTCTGTTTTCAGGCTTTGGTGGCTATAACTCAAGTAACCAAACAGATGTTTGACCATAAAGCAGATTTATTCCAAACAAAGCCTGCGGATTATCCTCGGCTTCTTACAATATCTATAGGCACAGGTGTTGCAAGGATAGATAAAAAATACAACAGCAAACTTGCAGCCAAATGGGGTATTTTGAATTGGCTGTTTTACGGAGGCACTACGCCTTTGATTGAAATATTCACTCAAGCAAGTGCAGATATGGTTGATTTTCACAATTCTTTGATTTTTCAAGCCCTTTATTGTGAGGAAAATTACCTTAGAATTCAAGTACGTTGGATTTAACTTTAGTATTTGAATCTTCCATGCTTAGGTTTCATCTCAGGTATTAATAAATTGATCCCTTTTCAACTCAGGATGATACACTATCTGGAATAGAATCTTCAGTTGATGTTGCAACAAAGGAAAATTTAGATAGACTCGTCAAAATTGGTGAGCGACTATTAAAAAACCCGGTTTCAAGGGTTAATTTAGAGTCGGGCCTGACTGAGCCTGTTCAAAATGGAGGCACGAATGAGAACGCTCTCAAAAGGTAAAAAGTTAAAATCTTGTTTACGTTTCTATCTAAAACGCTGCTTAATTTAATACGTTGTACACCATATAAACTGATCATGGGAAATTATGAACGTTTTGCAGGTTTGCAAAATTATTATCGACTGAAAGAAGACTACGACAGATAAAGAATGACAGCAGATTTCCACAGTTAAAGATTGCTGCCAATGTGAGAAGTCTAAAAGGGCAATCGATCATGACTTGTAGGAAAAAACCAAGTTATCCTATGTGTTCCATGAAAGTTGTTAGTCCCCCTATTAATGTATTTTTCAAATAGATTAGTAAAAATATGTATTTGAAAAGGAAAGGAAATGAAAAACATTAGAATAATGAATCATTTACACCATTGCATTAAGCCTATTTCTCTACCAAAACAAGTTGTGTGTGTCGTCTATTTATGTATTTTTCTTCCTTGTGAAAGTATCAAATGTATTTTCGAATTATGTCAAGTCTTTATACAAATGAAGGACATGAAGACCTACTTAGTACAGGTTTAATAAAGCTTAAATTATAGTTTAAGTGGAGTATATAAACATACTTTTCATCTCTACATTTCGTAGAATTTATAATTCACAATTTTGGGAGAGTAACAAGGGAAAAAAATTTATTAATTTCCTTATAACTGTGGAATCATATCTAAACGCAATAGCCAAGGATCAATCAAGTTCTTTATTTCCTTTCCATCTTCCTATTCTAAGTAACTAGGAATTATGAACAGGGGTGTCCTCACTCAAATTTTAATAGATTTCTTAATATTTATAAATTCTCATGGATTTTATGGAATTCAATAGAATTTAACAGATTTCATAATATTTAAATGAATTTCTATTTTGTAGATTTCAATAGAATTTCATGGATTTTATAGATTCTCATGAATTTGTAGACTTCTCTATTATAAGAACTTGTTTGGAAGGGATTTTTGGGGGAAGAATTGATTTTGAATAGTGATATGATGGGAAATGTGTGGTTGAAAAAGAAGAAAAAATTATTGATGTGATGGAAAATATTATTTTATTGAAGAATGTGTGGTGGAAAAAAATTATTGATGTGACGGAAAATATTATTTTATCGAAGAATGTGTGGTTGAAAATGAGAATTGATTTACTGTAGAAAAATCTAAATCTCTCCCAAATAGGGCCTAATTGTATTTTTACCTCCTCAATTGCCCAAAGCAAATTGTTAACTGAGCTCTGTAAAAAAATAAAAATAAAAATAAAATTCCACCCTACTATTTCAAGTGTATTTTTCTTTGTGAACCAAATTATGTTAGGACGAGCAACTTTCTGATGCATATTATGTCGAAATATGCAAATTCTAATGGTTAATCCAAGTCCATCTACACTAGATCTAAATTTTTTTTGAAATGTCACTTATGTTGACCCCCATCTCCCGTGCAAGCAAGTTTATTTGTAAGATGATGAGAAATTGGATACTAAAAAGCCAAGTTATTTGATACTAAAAATATCAAATTATCGTTTATTAAAACAAACTCGTAATTGTCATCTAAAAGCAAAAAAAAAAAAATTTAACTTGTCTAAGCAGAATTCAATTTCCATTACTCTTTGTTCACGACCTCTATCCACATATTTCCACATATTTGAAGCTATATTAGTTCTTCATTCATTTGCATGCTCTCTTTGTTGCTCTTGAGTTTCAAAAATATTTTCATCCTCTTCAATTACTGGTAATGACATGTAGACGAATCTTCACTATCTGATTCAACAAGAAGTTCTTCAGAACGACGCTCTTTACGAAGAAAATTATGCAATCCTTCACATGCTAACACCATCTCTGCTTGTATTTTAAAAGAAAATTGAGGTGCTAATTTAAAAGTTGTGATTTGAAAATGCCAAATATTCTCTCGACTACATTTATCAAGCTAGCATGGCAAAGATTGAATAGTTCATTAGCATTTTCTGGATTACGACCGGGGCTACCAAATTATGGAGATGATACAAGACACCACGAAATGGAGCTAAGAACTGACGACGATTGGAAAATTCACAACTCACAAGAAAATATTTACCTCAGTATACAATTCATGCATAAATCATCTCAAGTCATGAAGAAGATAACTTATAACAAATTGAAGGAAAAAAATGATTACCTTTTGGTACTTTTAAGTTCATTTCTTCTTATTAACGTGTCATTTAGTAGCTTGGAATCATGAGCTAAACCTTCTCTCCCACTAAGGATATAAATGAATTCCAAATCAAAATTGCTAGCCGCCAGTAGATTTTGTAGTATTGTTCAATGACGATTACGCTAGTTGTACATGTCACGTCCTCATAGCATAGCCGGTATGTGTTTGTCATCAATAGCTCCAATACAATCTTAAAATAGACATAATATTTTAATGATTTATTTTATAATAATAAAGTTATGAATAATATAATATAATTTACCTCAAAATAAGGATAAAATCTTATACTTTCTCTTATTTTGCTTCGCAATGTGGGTCCAAGTTTGATCATCATATCAGGTGCAATTGTATTCAAAGAATTTAAAATTTTGTTGAAATTTCTATTATATGTGGAATGTGCTCAATCAAAGGTCTTAGTGTGAGACAATATCGAGAGTTCTGACCAACTATAAGTAAGAATGTTGCAAGCATTTCTTCAACACATATATGTCGTGTATCCCGCAGAGGCCTTTTTTCTCTTATGATATTGCAAAACTTTAAAAACATATTTGGATACATCTTATGTATATGTCTGAAGATTTCAGGATCTTCTTTCAATACCTTATGAATATAATCACATCCAACTATAGTGATTGATTGCCGAAGTGGACGTTCTATATATTCACCATACGTGATAATTATCAACTCATTTAATACTTGAAGGGCCATTAAAATAAACTTGATAGTTTCATCGAATTCTTCCTCAATTTCTTGTCATGTTCTTTCTTCCATTTCTTCTTCCATCTAGAAATACATAGCTTTTTACAATTTAGAAATTCAGACCACAAAAATATATAAATACATAACTGATCACAACAAAAAAAATTAATTAATTCTTCAAACATTTAATATCAACTATATTATTAGCATTTACCAAAACTGTTCGAAGTGAAATTAAAATTTAACAAAATAACTCAAATCAATTCAACAAAGTACCACATTATCCTAATAAATTCAAAATATTAAACATTTACTCTAATAAAAATCATTCCACATTATATTTTATCCACTTCCAACACTCTTCATGTGACATTTTCAAAAAGGCATCTTTCATTCCAAACTTAAGAATGAAAGCAGGTGCTTTGTAGCTAGCGTGATTATCCAAAGTGGAAATTACACCTAACCAGCATTTTTAAGATTCAACTTCAAAAATCAGATTTAAAGTTTTAATATACAAAAATTAGATGATACTATATTATCATAAATATTAATAATAATATTACAAAAATTAAATTATTTTACATATGCACCTCACTACCATCTACCCCCCAAACCCTAATTACTTTTCCAATCTATTCTTTCTAGGGACTCTTTGTTAAAGAGTCGAGTCAAACAATGTATTTGGACAAAGAGGATTATGTCAATGTTTGTTGGTAAAATGGCCTCCATTAAAATAATGAATCATTTACACCATTGCTTTAAGCCTATTTCTCTACCAAAACAAGTTGTGTGTGTCGTCTATGTATGTATTTTTTCTTCCTTGTGAAAGTATCAAATGTATTTTCGATTTATGTCAAGTCTTTATTCAAATGAAGGACAGGAAGACCTACTTAGTACATGCTTAATAAAGCTAAAACTATAATTTAACTGGAGTATATAAACATACTTTTCATCTATATATTTCGTAGAATTTACAATTTACAATTTTTGGAGAGCAAAAAGGGAAAAAAAATTTAATTTCCTTATAACTGTGGAATCATATCTAAACGCAATAGCCAAGGATCAATCAAGTTCTTTATTTCCTATCCATCTTCCACTTAGGACCATTGGTAGACATTAATCCTATTATAAGTAACTAAGAATTATGAACAGGGGTGTCTCAAATTTTAATAGATTTCTTAATATTTATAAATTCTCATGGATTTTATGGAATTCAATAGAATTTAACAGATTTCATAAGATTTAAATGAATTTCTATTTTGTAGATTTCAATAGAATTTCATGGATTTTATAGATTCTCATGAATTTGTAGACTTCTCTATTATAATTGTATTTGGGAACAATACATAAATAAGGTATTTAAGTATAACTATTTCAAAATTAAGGATAGAGATTTTAAATTTCAAAAATCAGGCTTTCATTAAAATTTATTTATAATTTAATTAATTAATTATATATTTAATTAATAAATATATAAAGGTCACAGATCTATGCAATTTGGTCACAATTCAAAAATTTTATAGGTTTAGGGTCACATTTTGGTCACAATTCAAAAATTATTTTATTAAAATTTATTTATAATTTAATTAATTAAATAAATATATTAAGGTTACAGATCTATACAATTTGGTCACAATTCAAAAATTTTAAGGTCACAATTCAAAAATTTTATAGGGCACAGTTTGATCATCGGTCACAAATTAAAATTTAAAAGTCACAATTTGTTCATCGGTCACAAATCACAAAATTTACACGTCACATAATTTATTTTATGGTCACAAAACATCAAATTATAGGTCATATATTACTTTTATTGGTCACAACTCGATTATAACTTATTAATTTGTCAAAAATTAACCAATTATCGGTCACAATCAATCAAAAATGGTCACTAATTATCATTTTATCTCTCCCACCTAGCACCACTCTTTTTACCACTGCCACCACCGTAACCCACCACCACAATTACCACCAACACTGACACCACCACCCACAGTCCATCGTTCAGATCTGCACAACTTCAAGAGATTACATAACAGCGGGGAAGACACCACTGAATAGATTCTCTACATAGCAGCGCAGATCTACACAACCACCGGAGATCACATACCAGCGACGAGAACACCACCGCATAGATGCCTCTACAGAGCAACGAAGACCACTGGTGCGCCGCTTATGCTGCTACTAGAAGAGGCTGAACAATGGTGAAGACAGAGGCGCCACTACACAGCAACATCATTTGGTGACAGCGACACGAAGCGAATACCACTGGAGCACCGTTTACGCTAGTTGCTTCAGAGCGATGTTGGTACGGCGATGACATCGTAAGCATCGTCGACGGTGGCAACCGTATCACTAATGGTTGTTTGTGATGGAGAGGAGAGATTATGGAGAGAAGGAAGAAAGTAGAGAGAGAAAAGATAAAGAAACGTGAT